CAGACACAGAAGTAAATTGGCAGGAGGTGAGGAATTAAGGCAAAGTCCCAGTTTCCAAAGACTTAGGACAGATGGAAATTAGGCTTCACAGCAAGACTAATTGTAAAACCTTAATGGGAACAATTCTCCTTTCTGTTAGAAATGAGTATAGAACTCAAAATGTGATAGCAACTAAGTGCAACATTTTTACATGTGGGTTGGGATTATCCAGCAGCATTTCACTGGCATTTGATCTCCTTCATTATAAGCCTGAGTGGTTTGTCCAAAATGTTCTCTCATGATGTGGATATTACCTGCTGGAACACAGCATTGCCAACACTCACGGATCTTCTAGGAGATTTCTGTTTCTACTTCATTGTTCTGACCTGCGGTGCTTGTTTATATCTTTTCTTCTCTTCCGCCAGCTCAAAGTGGTGCACATGGTTCACTTCCTCCCATTTTATCCTTACAACAATCCTGTGAGGTAGGCTAGGCAGAGAGACTGTAACTGGCCCAAGGTCACCCAGTAAAAGCTACATGGCTGAGTGGGTAGTTGAACCTTGGTCTCTCAGGTCCTGGCCTAACACTGAAACCCACCACAACGCACTGGCTCTCAGATAAAAAAGAAATAAAGCAAAGAGCATGGGGCATCTTTCCCTCAGATTCTTTCTACAGCATGTCCTCGTGGAGGAAAAGTCAAATTTGCATTTCTCTGCAGCAGTAAAGTTAGGGGCAGGTGAATCAGTCAATTTCAGTTTCTCTCAGTTCCTCATGTTCTCTCTCTTAAATATATATTGAATATATATTGGGGTATATATTGAATAAATAATAAGTTTGTGAATATTTTTAAAAGTCCTAATGAAAAGACAGCATTTTCATTTTAATTTCTCCTAATATTTTTGGATGCAATTTTGTTTAACATACACATTTTGCAGGCTAGTTTCCCATTTCACTAATATGTGGACTTTAATGCACATTTTACCCAGGTATATGCATTCACACACATACTACTTGGCAGGAGAGGTGCACTGCAAAATTGTGAGAAGTAAGGACAGCTGTTTTCCCCCCAGAAAGCACAAATTAGGTTGGTTCTCCTTAAATACAAACTGAATCAAAGTTATCCCCGTCCCTAGGTACAGTCCAACAAAAGCTCAGTTGCCTAGAGCATGGTGCTGATAATGCCAAGGCTGCAAGTTTGATCCCCATATGGGGCAGTTGCACATTCCTCCACTGCACAGGGCTGGACTAGAGGATCATCAGGGTCCCTTCCAACTCTATTTTATGATTCTGCTGATTGCAAAGGCATTGATTTCCATGCTCACTTGCCAATTTTCACTTCTGCTCTAAATTCATTTTACACAGCCTATTTGAATAACAATGCCACTAAGCTTGATGGAAACTCTATTTTTGAGAAATTAGGGCAGGGAAGTTAGAAGCCTCTTGCTAATTTTTCAGCTACAGATGAAGTTTCTAAAACCAGAAGAGGAGGATGCTTTACAAACCTGGTTAGGTTGAAAAAGAAAAGCAGGAAGTAATAGTACTTGCAATGATTTTGCAGTGCAGTCCCCCCGCCCTTGAAATAAGGGGGGGGGGGAGCTTGTGCTTTAAATACTTTTTTAAAAAAACAACAAAGTGACTCCACACTGGAATAATTATAATCCATGATTTCACCAGACTCAAAACATGTAGTTAAATGTCCTGATTTTTTTAACAAAGCTCATACAATCCAACAGTTTCTGCCTTCATGCTAAAAGGAAATGAGACACAGGCAGCCAGTAAGGGCTTCAGATGAACTAGAACTTTTTAAAATAACAATGAACGTCCAAATGTTGACATCTAAAAGCTAGCTGCTTATTTTGATAATGTGGGAGGGAAAATGTTGTATGGTCCTTTGAGAAAAATACAGTGGTACCTCGGGTTACATACACTTCAGGTTACATACGCTTCAGGTTACAGACTCCGCTAACCCAGAAATAGTGCTTCTGGTTAAGAACTTTGCTTCAGGATGAGAACAGAAATCGTGCTCTGGCGTTGCGGCGGCAGCAGGAGGCCCCATTAGCTAAAGTGGTGCTTCAGGTTAAGAACAGTTTCAGGTTAAGAATGGACCTCTAGAACGAATTAAGTACTTAACCTGAGGTACCACTGTAGAATCTCTCCTACAGGCCTTGTTCACGCATGCATATTCATCTCTGAGCAACTGCACACTCCATTGATGGCCTGAATGTGTGAAAGAGCCACAACAGAACAAAAAACATGCCTGAGATTTCACAGCACTATAGTTCTCTCTCCCCCGCCCCACAAACTGTCCCTGCCTTCTACTGTGAGTCATCAGCAATGATCAAGTAGCAGACAAGCATGTGGCATGGGGTCAGTGATGCATTTCTTTCAACACTGGTAGTTGAAAACAGATGACGTTATCAGGCCTAAATTGCCACAGCACCTACTGTCTCACTTTATGTCCCAAACAAATTACCTTTCTCATCAATAGCAGGAAAAATGAGGAAGACTACTGTGGCACCTTAAAAATAAATATATTTATTGTGGGGTGGGCGAGGCTATTGCCAGTAGTGCAAAATAGAATATACACTTCACTTGTGGTTCTGGGGCTGGAGCAATGGCTGCTTTACTGTTTTGATGCCAGATTTAACAGCTCAGCTAATAAAAACTAACATTCAGCACAGGAATAGTTAAGTCACGTCAGTTGCTTTGGGTGGGACTCAGGTCGCATTCCTGGGAGTGAACTTCACCAAATTCCATGGGGCTTATGTCTGAGTGGGCATATATAGGACCATACTGTTAATCCAATTGATTTTTTTCTTCTATTTCATTAATTTATACTCTGCCCATCAATGTAAAAATATTTCCAGGCATCAGTGCTGTGCTTTGCATGATTGTATCCTTAAGCTATGTCTGTTTTTAGGCATCAGTTTGTAGCCCCCTCTCGCCTGCTTCCTCCCTTCTCCCACTGTCACATCTTATTTACACAAATATTTCACTCACCTTATCAGTGACTGGCAAATCCTGTTGTGCATGTGCTCTCAAACCAAGGTCTTAAATTTGATGGTGGAGACAGCTGCACTAATTTAATGGAAGGGGCAGCAGAAGGGGATGTGAAGAAATCCATAAAGTGCTTGGCTGACATTTGCGGAAGAGATTGGATGCTTTCTTGTTAACCTTTAGAGGAGCATACTGCATAAATTGTGACAGTGCTCCCATATTAAATGGGGCAGTATTCAGACACTGGACAGCTTCAGTCTGGATTTATCACTCTCTCAAATGAATTCTACTCTAAAATATGGCACCATGGGGCATGGACATTTGTTTGCATTGTCAATCCAAAAGTGTTAACGATATACAATCAAACCGTTTTGTGGATGCTCCCCCTTCTTATGATTACAGAGTGTTTCTGCCTTGTAAACATCCAATTAAAATTAACAGATTTCCCTTAACATTTTTGTTATTCTACAAGGGTAGCTGGTATGATTTTTTTCAGTTTCACCTTCTGCCCAAAGAATGTTGCAGTGGATGTTACCAGTATTGTGGTAATGTTAATTATATGCAAACAGCATTTGCAAAGATCATAATGAGGAGTTTGTACTAATTGTATTTTGGCTTGAAAGCATTCACTTGGATCAACCAACTATATCTAAAAGTTTTTTAAAATGTTTGATGGGAAATGCTGCATGGGCATATGCACACAAAATGTTCAAAGGTTCCTTGACTATTTACAAGTCTAGTTCTCAAGGTATGATCTGAATAATGTAACACATGAGCCTAGTGCACTTAAAGCAGGCAGGCTTCTGCAGCCAGTGAGAGATGAGGGCATTTAGGGCAAATGGGGCCCTAAGACTTCTGCTCAAGTTTCCTGCACACTAATGATCCATGGAAAATATTGTGCATTTACTACATGTGAATTGCTTGCTTAGCAATACAATGGAGTTGGGCGCAAAGGGATAGTTAGAAAGCTGGAAAGTCATCCTTCTTCAAAAACATGCACAATTAATGTTTTTGTAGCAGAAACGTGAAGCTTGGGCAGTCTAGGAGCAGAGAAATGAACAGAAATAGAAGAAAATGTTGAAATTGTCCAATTCCACATATTTCAAGTCAAAAATCTAAAAAGTGTGAACTGCAGAAATCTGTTCTGCTATTTCAGTTCAAAAATGTGAAAATAATGCATTTGAGAAGTAGCTAAATGTGGCCAGCCTCTTGTGACACCATCTTCCCAAGCTCAGCAAAGTAGAACAGTTTGTAGCTCTAACTCAAAATCTACTGAAATGCAGTAAGAGCCTCATTCACATTTCTTGATTTAATTTGTGAGGTATATGAGAGGGTTTTTTTATGAAGACCAATTCCAATATAATGTTTTGCAGTCATGTGGAGAAGACATATAGACCTCTCATTGTACAGCCTTTCTATCTGCTCTTGTAGGTTAAATGTTTTCTAGGTGCTTTTATTTTTAATTGTATTATTTTATCACTGATGTCTTTGTTAACCTATGCTCCATTGGAAAGAATGGCAGAACATAAATCCAAGAAATATAATAATATATTTAAATGTCACATAAAAGGTAAAGGTAAAGGGACCCCTGACCATTGAGTCCAGTCGTGGCCGACTCTGGGGTTGCAATGCTCATCTCACTCTATAGGCCGAGAGAGCCGGCGTTTGTCTGCAGACAGCTTCCGGGTCATGTGGCCAGCATGACTAAGCCGCTTCTGGCAAACCAGAGCAGCACACGGAAACGTTGTTTACCTTCCCGCCGGAGAGGTACCTATTTATCTACTTGCACTTTGACATGCTTTTGAAATGCTAGGTTCGCAGAAGCAGGGACCGAGCAATGGGAGCTCATCCCGTTGCAGGGATTCGAACTGCCGACCTTCTAATCGGCAAGTCCTAGGCTCTGGTTTAACCCACAGCGCCACCTGCGTCCCTAAATGTCACATACTGGGTGCCAAATATTGTACTGCAAGAGATGTATGCAGCAATTCTAGATGCACATCTCCTCAACAGTCAGTCTCTCTCTCTTTTTTTAATGATATTTATTCAAAGTTTCATCAATACATAAAAAATCCCCAACCCTAGCCCAAAAGAGAAAAGAAAATAGATAATAGAATAAGAAAGAAAAAGAAAAAAGAAATTATAAATCTCAAATTTCAACTTTTCATTTGCTTGGTTCTTGAACCTCCTCACGCCTCCCTTTTTGTATTCTAATTTAATTCGTTATTTCAGCAAATTCTTCCCATATTTCTCAATTTTAATTTAAATAATTAATCTTCACAATCTATCTTATTTGTTAATCAACATGGCCTTTCCCTCTTTTAATATAATCTGTTATTCAATTTGCCTTATTCTTTAACCTTATCTTATCTTAAAAATCTTAAAATTTCAAAATCACATCACATTCCTACATTTCTCCTTAAAATCATTTCTACTAAAGCCAATTTGATTCCTTTCCAGCATATTCCCTCAAATTTCATTAATATTAGACAAATTTCATTGATATTAATCTAATTCCAAAATTAACATAAAAATTTCTATAATTTTCATCCAGCGTCCCATCTTCCTGGTTTCAGTCATGTCAGTCCTTTCTGTCCGTTACATAGTCCATCAATCTGGTGTTCTGATGTCCGAGGCCCTTAAATCTCTTCTAGGCCCCTTCTGCAAATTTTTTTGTTCTTGTTTATGCTTACACAGTTCTTTGTCTATTGTTGGTCTCTGAGGGAGTGGGTCTCCGGAGGGTTCCATCCAGTAATAATTTCCATTTTCCTTCATTATATTGTCCCCTTCCCCCGAGTCCCACTCCCAATCTTCTTCTTTATAGTCCAAAAAATATGTATCCAGAAGATGGTTATTCACCTGTTTCACAGTCACACTAGAGTTAAAGACTTCCTTAACTTCAAATGCTTCCCAGCACTCTCCAAAATCAATCTTCCAGCGCAGTAGCTTTTTTTCCTGCAAAACTTTGGGGCTTTCCATTTGTGTTGTGTAAGAGATAGCTACTGCCTCTTCCTCCTCCATCTGCCCTTGGACTTGCCTTATCAAACCAGGTTCATCCTTATTCCCTGTTGAATCATATTGGTTGGCCACAGCACTCATAAAATCCAGTTTTTCATTCATCAGACTCACTTTCTCGTGCAGCTGCTCCAGCAAAACATTAGTCCTACCAAGGGCAGACACCAAACTTTCCTGCCAAAACATTTCTATTCCAGAACAAGGTCAAACGGCTGTTCCCACGATCCAAATCTCACATATGCAAACTGCGACCGCAAACTGGCAGGCTCCCTCTAGAGGACACAATTTCTGATTGTAGCCAATTTTTTTTTAAAGTATCCAACAAAGAAAGCTACTTTCAATTTCAAGTCCTTTCAATTTCAAATACTTTGTTTCCTTAAAGAGCAAAAATGCAGAAGGTAGCGTTGAAGTTAATTTGTTTCTTTTTTTCCTTTTTAACTATCTGTCAAAAGTGCTCCACTTTCAATCAATGGACGTCTCGAACAATTTCTGTCCCGACACCCCGTCCCCAGGTTTGGGACGGTGGAAACTTACGTTCCTTTTCTCACTTCCTGCAGGATTAAGCTGTGAAATCCCCCCCCTCTCCTGCTTCCAAGGGGGTTTTGTTGGTTATGGGTGCAGGAAATTTCCAACTTTAAAAGAACTTTTCAGGCTGTTAGGTTACAAGATCTTTGCTTTAAGCTGTATACAAGGACGGGAGGCGGACTTCCTGTTTACACCATTCCCGCTTCGTGCCTAATTTCATAATTTTAAAGATTTCTTAGTCCAATTCTCCGTTTTTACTCACGGGTACTTGATTTAGAGTCCAAATGTCATCAGGAAAAGTCAGCGCTCTCCGGCGATGGCTGCGCGGCTTCCCTCCATGGAAGTAGCAATCAGTTCGCAGCACCGCGCTGCTCCACCCGCTTCACTTCGGAGCCCCGCAAAAGGGTTTCCTCGTGAGTAGGGGAGGCGCTTTTGGTGCTCTGCCGAACCCCACGTTCCCAGGCTTCTCCCGCCTGGGATTTCTAATGGGCCCCCGCCTTCGCCGCGGCGGGAAGCCCCTGCTTCCATGGAGACCGTTCCTCCAGTCGGAGGAACTCCGCCATTCACCGATGGCGCTGACCCGGAAGTCCCTCAACAGTCAGTCTCTGACTAGAGTAAGTCTGGCTCCTGAGAAGATTTCGGTCCAAGATTTGTTGTTGTACAAGAGTTAAAGTATGAAGACTAGAAAGAAGAAATTGGTGATCTTGCTGTTCCTGTCTTGTTCTCCTATTTAATCTATATTTATTATAGAGAGCTGTTTTGGTGGTGGTGACTAATAAGTGAACATCAGGCCAGAGTGACCTTTAGAAGCACTGACTCATTTTTGCAGGCAATTTAGTCGGATGTCAACAGATGGGCTTGCATTTTGGAGTTGACTGGTATAAATCTGTTCATAATGACATTGTGGAAACAGTCATGAGCCTTGCACTTCTGGACTGGTTCCACATAAAATAGTTTGAGGGGGGGAAATGATCTGCATTTTCCTGAGTACACCTGAGAAATGTAACCCCGTGTCTCCCCCAGAATGGCCTCACCTAAATGCTATTCAGTAAGCTCACAAATATTTCTGGTTGTGTTCTTCTTTTCTATCTCAGCCTGTCATCCTCTTAAGCATTCCATGTTACTTGCGTGTAATTAGCCCCCACCCCCAAGCACCTATTTATGAGTACCACTTCAATGGGTGATGTGGATAAAACATTAAACTCTGTAAGTTGTGTGTGCGCCTCCATACAGATATAAATACATGGAAATAGGATATTGTGTAATGCACCATATGTAAAACCACTGGAAGCTACCATAGCAAACTATCTCTCCATCAAGTCCTACACACACACACACACACACACACACAAAATTTATTTAACAAATTTATAGACCGCTTCCCAGCACACTACCAACCAATGTACAAGATTAAAAGCAGAATAAAGCACAAGTTCTAAAAACAATAAAAGCATTACAACAAACTAAAAACAGTAAAATCATCCTTCCAAATTATAAAACCAATAAAACAATTTCTGCAAATATACAATGGATATTCCATATATGGCTGAGTCATACCTGAGCCTTCTTAAATGAAAATGTCTTTATTGGCACCTAGCCATGACATTAGGCACTTGTCTGATTTTGATTGGCAACTGATTCCAGAAAGCTGGACATGCAACCAATTTTAAAAACAGAGATATGAAAGCTAGGAGCTAAATGGCACCTTAAACCTAGGTTATGGCACCACAATGGAGTGTCTAGGTGTACAAAGCTGAAAATGAATGAACTGCAGCTAAAATCTTATGTTCATTTTTCACATGGTCTAGTCCTCATCTGCAAAAAAACAAAGCCATACTTCCCCTGCCCACTCCCCTAATATTCTTATGAGGGTCCCTTCTCCAGTCTTCAGAGAGTGGCTGGAAGTGGGGAGGCAGAAAAAGGTCCTCTTTTCCTTCCCTTCCAGCAGTGGCAGTTTTAATCTGAAATCTTAGGCACACCAGGAGCTCAGAAACTGCTCTCATTAATGAAATTCCCTGTTGCAAAATGCACCTGGAACAATGGGAGTTTTGAGCGCTGGCTGCAACACTAGATATGCTGGTGTCAAGTTGTTTAAAGCTTTAAATGCTAAGAGCAAAACCTTGCACTCTGCAGGCCTCTCAGCAGTAAAATATATACTCTGACTGTATTGCAGAGGGTTGGACTAGATGATCCTTGGAGTCCCTTCCAACTCCACAATTCTATGATGCTATGGCTCTTTGGGGTCTCAGGTAGAGGCATTTCATGCCTAATCCTTTTTAACGGGAGATATCAGGAATTGAACCTGGAAACTTCTGCATAAAAAGCACATGCTCATTCATGACAAACTGGTCAGAGACATTCTGCCGCCATACATCTGTTTTACGGAAGGAGGTGCTATAGCTTTTGTCTCCAGGATCATTTCCTGGCTAGGCCCTTCCTTGCTGTGCCCCACATCTATGGGGAAGGAGTGCTGATATAGCAGTGTCAGTTGTTGTTTCGTCAGTCCTTGGGTTGGGTTTAAGGGGCTGACAGTGTGAATACCCTCTGTGTGGTTCTGTCAGTTCCTCATCACAGCATCACTGGGGCATCATGGCTGGAGCTAAGCTTGCTACTACTTCCACCATGACTCCTATTTACAGCAGTAAAACCTTTACAAGGCTGATGAAGTAGTAAAGCAATAATCTTTGTTACTGAGGACTCCAGGAAATGATGAAAGAACCTGAAATTATGTGGTCTGACTAACATTAGCTGGGGCAACCACTAGAAGGGTTATACAATATATGTATATGAGCCAACGTCAAATTTGCTGCAAGCCTGTCACTTGGGACAGAATGGAGCCAGCAACTAGGTTAGCACTCTGCAAACATGGAACTGCATGGGCAGGCATGCTATGCTGCAAGATGCATGGCTCTTTCCACAACAACACAGATGTTAGCCTGATGAATTTATAAGAACAATTGCGGCAAGTGTTGGGGATGTACATTCCCCAAGGCAGAATTTTTTCATAAATAGTGAACATGACTATAAATGATTGCATTTATTTTTATTGTTTAAGGGGGAAATACTTTTATTATCAGACAGGTGCTTGTATTGGTTACTATTTTATCATTTGTCCACTCTGTTTGGTTACATGAATGATCCAGAGGCTGAAATCCTATGCAACCCAACATGTTGGAGCACAAAGGTATGTGTGTTCACTCAGAATTAAGTCCCACTGGACGTATCATTAGCACTTCTGTGAGTTTAAGGACTGCAGTCAGATTCTGTCCAAGGTATTGAAGTAATAATCGTCTCCTGTTGTTTGTTCACAGCTTTCAGGTACGTGGAACAAAGGCAGATTTAGGGGAACGCAGCTGGTTCCACCACACTTGGTGCCAAGACTGGGGGGTGTTGCAGGGCATCACAACTATGATGCAGTAAACTGAGCAGAATAGAAGGCAAGAGGTGGAGGGGGCGCCAAAGCCTGGCCATGCACTGCTGAAATTTGGAAGACCAAAGTCTGCCCCTGTATGGAGTTCCTTTATGGAAAGCACGCCAGATACTTCCACAGGTAACCACCAACCAGCTGCTCTACTGTTGTTCTAAAAGGTGCAGGAGACATTTTCACCTATTGCTTCATCATTTTCGCAATCGCCCATTGGAGACTGGCTTGGTAGCTTGCAGTCTCTGGTGCGTTTGTGTTGCTGTTGTTTGAAAGTTAGGCTGCACAAAGATTCTTCCTTATTTTTTAAATGCCACTGTGTTGTTGCTAAGGGCTGCCATAAACTGCCCGGGCATTTGATAGTGTATACAGAATTTTTTTGAAAAGTGTATACAGTACAGCTTTGCATATAAAATACCCACAATAAAAATGAAAGGGGACTAAATGTTTCCTTTATAAAGAGCTCTTCTGAAAGGATGTCTTTTGATGAAAACTGACATATAGAGGTTGTCATTTCTAATCCCCATAATCTGTAAATCCCTATAGAGATTAAAGTATAGCCTGGAAGAATAGGAGTGTCTTTATTTCTCTCTCTTAAAACACACTCATCTTTGTTGGTCTGCCTACTACCTCCTCTTCTGTACAACATAGAGAATGTTTTTTAAAAATCATTTTGTAATATCATTGTGATTGCTATTGATTGATTTCTAAACAAGCATGGCTAATATTTTAACTGAATAGACTTTGGCATTTAACTAAGCCCTGCTTGGGTGGCAAATCTGAGGAACTGTGAGGAAAGAAAGTGAATTTGTGTAAGGCTCAGAACATTTATTGGTGTGGAGCTGATGATAGTAGCATGTAAAACTCTTAAACTGCCACTATGCTTTGCCCATAGTGAAATATTAAGGCAAAACATCAGAAGAAATTCAAAGGAAGTGAAATGAATATCCATAAAGGTAAAGGTAAAGGTACCCCTGCCCGTACGGGCCAGTCGTGACCGACTCTGGGGTTGTGCGCCCATCTCGCTTAAGAGGCCGGGGGCCAGCGCTGTCCGGAGACACTTCCGGGTCACGTGGCCAGCGTGACGAAGCTGCTCTGGCGAGCCTGCACCAGCGCAGCACACGGAAATGCCGTTTACCTTCCCGCTATAAAGCGGTACCTATTTATCTACTTGCACTTAAGAGTGCTTTCGAACTGCTAGGTGGGCAGGAGCTGGGACCGAACGACGGGATTTGAACCGCCGCGGGGATTTGAACCGCCGACCATACAATCGGCAAGTCCTAGGCGCTGAGGTTTTACCCACAGCGCCACCCGCGTCCCTTGAATATCCATAGGACAAGGTAAAAAGGACTTCCGGGAGTTCTAGCCTTCTCTACTTCTCTACGTCATGCTTATGCATTTATTTAGCAAGATTTGATATGCTGCTTGATTTTAAAATGTCTCACTTGAAGTGGTATATAAAACATGGTATAAAATATTTATTAAAATAACAATAAAAGCAGACTTAGAAACAGTACACACACTAAAAATTATCAAAATAATTAGGCCTTTAACTTGTAAAGATAAAAGCTAATTCTTGCTTTTACCCTGTGAAATCAAAGCATGTTGGTTTTCTAAGAGATATGGCCCTAGGAAAACTCTGAGGTGTTGTGATCATGCTTTAGCACAGGGGTCCTCAAACTTTTTAAACAGGGGGCCAGTTCACTGTCCCTCGGACACTGTTGGGGGCCGGACTACAGTTTGGAAAAAATAATTGAACAAATTCCTATGCACACTGTGCATATTTTATTTGTAGTGCACAAAAAACAGGAAAACAATACAATATTTTAAATGTTAGATTATGAGTTGTAGCCATTGCCAGTTTGCTAGATCACTCAGAATAGATCTACTGAAAATAATGAACACGAGTCACTTGGGTCTTTTAATTTCAATGGGTCTACGTGGAGTAACACTGAGTTTTGCCCACCTCCCAATTACTTACAGCACTGTCCGAAATGCCTTATTATTATTAAATTGGTCGTATACTTGTTGAGCTTGTCTCTTGGCTGGGGCTTGGGGTGGGGAAAAGGTGGGGGCCTAAGAGAGGCGGAGAGAAAGGGAGCATCGCCCACTGTTACGTTGCCCTCCTGTGTTTGCAATGGATCTGTGACCGTCGGGGAGGGAAAGGCG